ACTGACTGAGACTCTGGCTGCTGGACAACAGAGTCACTGATCATGTTTGCACCTTGGGAGAGAAATGAAATGAACTGTGATCATTAGCATCATGTTCACATTCAGCTGAAATGAGAATGATATGAGTAAGGATGATATACTACGGAGAATTAATACCTTTTATCATTAAAAAGGTGCCTGATCCAAATTGAATATCATTTAGGTTCATCACTCCACAGTAGTATGTCCCAATGTCATCCCATGTTGTTGCAGATATTCTGAGATCACTTCTGAATTTGTCAGATTTGGCTGAATAATGATGGAATTCATTAGCAAATACAGACCGATTATACTGGTAATTAAATGTGGACACAAGCTGTAGTCTCTTCCCTGTGGTCAATTTGTACCACACTCTTTTTTTCATTTCACTCTTTATGTGACATTTTATAGTAGCTGAGTCTCCAAGCTTCACCATTTGGAAAGAAACAGGCTGAAAGATGTCACTCAACGCTGCCACACCTGAAATATCCAGACAGCATACAATCAGCTTAGTGTGTGAAGACGCTCATAAAAAAGTGGATTTTTGTTACTCACCCAAAGACGAGAGCAGGAAAACATTCACAAAGTACACCGCCATCTTGTCTTCTTCTCTGGTCTTTTTTCTTCTCCGCAGCAGTTCTGACTTACTGAAACAGACTTAACAGATACACCACTTGTCCTACATTCAGCTACATCTGTAAGTTCTGATTGGTTCATCGTCCTCCCCTTGCAGGGCATGATTGGTTGTTAACAGTGAAAGAAAAAACCCTTCATCCTGACCTCTTTTGACGTCAGTGTCAGCAGTGTTTGAAGATCTTTTTTGTCTCTATGTTGCGGTTCGTCATCAACTCCTTGATATTAAATAACAATGTACAGGTATACCACAATGAGGTTGTCAAAATGGTTCTTAGTTCTTAGAAACCTCACTTGAAATAAAAAGGGGGCACCTCAAGGTTCTGTGCTGGGTCCTTTACTATTTACACTCTAC